CATGTGAGTTGATATAACAATCACATTATTTATTTATTGTTTTGCATTTTAATTATAACATGTTATAGTTATTCTGTCAATTTTATCTTCATACTTATTACAGATGAATTCAAGTTATCATGCTAATGACACGTTGATATCTCAAGACTTGTATTGGCTAGCTAATTATCCTAGTAGGGTTGTGAGTAAATATAAAAGTCACATTGTTCATGGGTTTAGATTTCGTATAAAATCTGTGGATGATAAGTATAGGAATCAAAATTGTGGTGTCTTTGTACCTGCAAATGTTCCTAGAGCAATTGGGCAAGTGAATTGTTATGGCAGAGTTGTAGATATGTTCGAGTTCGTTAATCATGCCAATGTCGACGATGAGTTAACAGAGGATGACGGAGAATAAATATGTTAATTATTTTATGTATTAATTATACTATCTTTCATTTTGTATGTTATGATATCTTATTATAAAATTATATTTCTATTTTTTATTAAGTATTATATATAAGTCAAATCTTTTTTTTTAATATTGGGTTATACTTTTTTTTTTTAGCTTGTTTCCTGTCGCTTTTAACCGACGTCGGTTTAATTGAAATATTTTGGGCGGCACTTTTCCCCGTTTTTTTCATTTAGTTGGCATCGGTTTTAACTGACGCAACCTAAGTCTGTGTCGACGCAATGAAAACTTATTTCGACACAGACTGTCATGTTGGCGTCGGTTTTAACCGACGCAACCTAAGATTCTTTCGACGCAATGAAAGCTTATTTCGACACAAACTGTCATGTTATGTCGGTTTTATCCGACGCAATGTTAGCCTATTTCGATGCAATGTCAGTCTATTTCGACGCAAGATAAAAACCTGTTGTGAATTATATGTATTAATGCGAAAAAAAGGATGATTATTTTTTCTTATTTACAGTTCACGAAATTTTTGAGTTGTTAATTACACTATTTTTCTTTTTATTTAACAATTTTATACTTCTAAAAACTATAATTATATATATATATTAAATTCTTTTATTTAACAATTTTATACCCTAAAAAACGATCGATCTTCAATTTGAAATATTTACACTAGTGAATAGCACAAAATCTTATATTATACTTAATGAAAGTATGAATAAACTCTTTAAGTGTTAGTGAATCTATCGTTTTGATGGAATACGAATTTTACGAAACTAATTTCAACGATCGAACCATCAAACATGTTTGTATATAATTCGAGATCGCATACACCAAAAATTGTGAAAAAAAAAAACGTTCAGAGACAAAGTAACGGGAAAAACTTATTCGACGGTTATTAACGAAAAATCACGATTTAACGGTTATTTTAACTCCGATTTTGATGATTTTTTATATGTACACTCCTTCACCCTATATGAATACAGTGAATGAATGCGATCTTCAATTTGAAATATTTACACTAGTGGATATCACAAAATCTTGTGTTATACTTAATGAAAGTATGAATAAACTCTTTAAGTGTTAGTGAATCTATCGTTTTGATGGAATACGAATTCTAAGAAACTAATTTCAATGATCGAACCGTCAAACATGTTTGTATATAATTCGAGATCGCATACGCCAAAAATTGCAAAAAAAAAACATTCTGAGACAAAGTAACGGGAAAAACTTATTTGATGGTTATTAACGAAAAATCACGATTTAACGGTTATTTTAACTCCGATTTTGATGATTTTTTATATGTACACTCCTTCACCCTATATGAATACAGTGAATGAATGCGATCTTCAATTTGAAATATTTACACTAGTAGATATCACAAAATCTTGTGTTATACTTAATGAAAGTATGAATAAACTCTTTAAGTGTTAGTGAATCTATCGTTTTGATGGAATACGAATTCTAAGAAACTAATTTTAACAATCGAACTATCAAACATGTTTGTATATAATTCGAGATCACATATGCCAAAAATTGCAAAAAAAAAAACAATCTGAGACAAAGTAACGGGAAAAACTTATTTGATGGTTATTAACGAAAAATCACGATTTAACGGTTATTTTAACTCCGATTTTGATGATTTTTTATATGTACACTCCTTCACCCTATATGAATACAGTGAACGAATGCGATCTTCAATTCGAAATATTTACACTAGTGGATATCACAAAATCTTCTGTTATATTTAATGAAAGTATGAATAAACTCTTTAAGTGTTAGTGAATCTATCGTTTTGATGGAATACAAATTCTAAGAAACTAATTTCAACGATCGAACCGTCAAACATGTTTGCATATAATTCAAGATCGCATACGCCAAAAATTGCAAAAAAAACACATTATGAGACAAAGTATCGGGAAAAACTTATTCGACGGTTATTAACGAAAAATCATGATTTAACGGTTATTTTAACTCCGATTTTGATGATTTTTTATATGTACACTCCTTCACCCTATATGAATACAGTGAATGAATGCGATCTTCAATTTGAAATATTTACACTAGTAGATATCACAAAATCTTGTGTTATACTTAATGAAAGTATGAATAAACTCTTTAAGTGTTAGTGAATCTATCGTTTTGATGGAATACGAATTCTAAGAAACTAATTTTAACGATCGAACTGTCAAACATGTTTGTATATAATTCGAGATCGCATATGCCAAAAATTGCAAAAAAAAAAACAATCTGAGACAAAGTAACGGGAAAAACTTATTTGACGGTTATTAACGAAAAATCACGATTTAACGGTTATTTTAACTCCGATTTTGATGATTTTTTATATGTACACTCCTTCACCCTATTAATCGATGTAGTTTATTTCGTTATAACTATAAATTTGTGTAATAATTTTTTTATTTTTATTTTCAGGAGGTTGCTGAAAAAAACAAGATTAATCGGCAAAGGAAAACAATGAACCATACTATTGGTACATAATCTTTTGCAAGAAGGCGGCAATAATATGTATGGATTGTACAATTTGAAGAAATGTTATTTTAAATATTCTATAGTTGTTATAAATTTTAATTTTAATGAGGTTTGCCTAAAATTGTTTGTGTGAAATTTTATTTTTGGTAAAGCGGAAGAAGCATGGGAAAGAAGCCGATCCTGTAACCTTTTTTCGTGAATGTCATACACGAAAAAATGAAACTTGGATTGATGAAGCATCGGAGCGTACATGGGTAATTTATTTTACTGTGTTAGTATTTCATTGTTATTCATTTTTATTATCTATAGCTTATTTTTCTGTTTTACGATTGAATTTTTATTTTTAAAAATTGTAATGCAAGGCAACAATGGAGAGCAATCTACAAACTTTGATTCAGTCGGGGCAAGAGGATAATGAAGATCCTAAGACCCAAGTGTATGTTGATACAATGGGTCTTGAGAGGTATAATAAAGTCAGAGGATACGATCATGGGGTGACTCTTGATATGGTGTCCTATACGTCTTTTTCGTCTTCTACATCAATTTCCTCCAAGAGGTCATCTAACAGTGCAATGGCATTGCTGATGACTCAAAATAATGAGTTGAAATTGAGGGATGAAAATAACAATAAACGGATTTCAGACCTAGAGAACAAGCAAAGTCAGATGTTTGCGTGGCTTTTCCAAAGATTTCAGCCATAACCACAACCACCGTATAGCCCGGGAACCCAACAGTCAGGCCAGAGTCAGCCACCTCCTCCTCAATAGTCGGGTCAAAGTCAGCTACCCCCTGCATATTCGTATGCTGGCCATAATCAGCAACCTTCGTATCCTATGTATTCGATGCTTATGCAGCCCACGACATACATGCAGCAGCCGCCTATGCCATACATGCAGCAACCTCCCATGCCTTACATGCAGGAGCCGCCTTATCAAGTGCCAGTATATCGACCCGAGATGGCTGCTCCTTGTCTTGAATTTCCAGCTGGGGGGTTTGCTGAAATGCTTGCGGGTGTTGGATCTGATGTGGACTTGTCGAGGATGTTGGCATCAAATATAGGACCTCAAGGACGAGAAGGATCTGTGCCACGTTCAGGCGCAAATTCGGTTCAGTAGTTTATTTGGTTCGCTTTCTTGTCGGTTAAATATGACACTTTAATCGTGCTATCTTTTTTGTTTTTTTTATGTTATGTTTGTAATGTCGGATTTAGTAGTTGTTATGACGGATGAGTTTTTGTATACTAAGTGGAATGTTAGCTGTACAATATTTGTGTATTTTGGCACTATTTTTATTGTTAATTATTTTCATTAATGTATGTACAATATTTGTGTATTTTGGCACTATTTTTCTTGTTAATTAATTTCATTAATGTTTATTTTGGCCTTGGAATTTATTAATATAATTATATAAATTTCTTCTGTTACAATGAATTGAAGACGAATGCAGTTTGCCGGTTTTTTTTATTATTATTAACAAAGGTGGTGTCGGTTAAGACCGTTATTAGTTTGCAAATTTTATTTATTTAATTGTTATTTGACGTCGGTTTATGGGATATTAAATTGATTTAATATTATTTCAGTGTCGTTTAAAAGCGACAGTAGGATGGATATTTTACAATTAAATTGCTAATGAACGTTGCCTTAAAGCGACGTAACGTGTACGTATACGTCGCTTTAAACCGACGTGAATTTTAGTGTTGCTTTAAAGCGACGCTGTTTAGTGGCGGTTTAAGCCAACAAACTGACGCTAAAGCCCTTTCGTGACGCTAGCAATAGTGTCGCTTTGAAAATGCCACATTCCATTATTTTATGTCGGATTTTTGCCAAAATTCCGACAGAAATCGGATTTCTCGTCGGTTTTTGCTCCGACGGTGATAGCATATATTGTAGTAATGTTTTGGAGATTTTTCTCGATACGTACTAGAGAAAATGATTTAATGTTGCATACTAAAACCAACATCATCATAATCATTTTCAAAACACTTAAAAAGCGTAGTCAGAGGCACTGAAGATGAATTTTTTTTACTCCATATAAGATATGTGACAGAGGAATCAAAGTTGTTATTGTGTTTTGCTAATGTTGAGGAAAGGAGATGATGTTTAAACTCTTCAAATTTGAAAAATAGCTCGAAACTTTTCATCAACCATAGTGTAAACATATTTTTCCTTACAAATATCCTTACTTTGAATTAAAAATCTGGTTATATACAGATAACTAATAGACAAAGTAGTACTTAAAATTTTCCAGTTTGAACAATAATTCATGCAACCTAAGAGATGCTTATTTGCACAGGAGCACTATCCGCTGGTTGGGGGATCTCTCTGTTGGACTGCGTCCGGAATTCAGAGACAACAAGCTGTAAATGGTCAGCCATGAGAACAAAGACTTCAACTTCAGTGCGGGACTTGACAGTTTTGGCTGAGATGGGAAAGTCGGAAAGGGAGTTATATGCCTTTGCCCAACCTATAAGTTCTTCTCCATAAAAATCACGACGTATAATGCTTGACGAGCCACTTCCTCCGCCAATAGTAGTCTTGTAGGTAAGTACACTGCCCTGCGTGATGAAAAGCATCCTATCCAGTGGCTCCCCCTCTCGAATAATATAGCTACCATCAGCATAGTTAACTGGCTCAAGATATCCCATGATTTTTTTCAACACTTCTCCATCTTTGTTTTCAAGCCCTCGCACCTAGGGTTAATTTATACATGTAATGAGAAATTTATAAATACATCGATAAGATCCAATAAGCAACATCATTTTACTAGGACGGATGATAATCAACTGTTCAAAAGTACACTCATGAAAGAACACCAAAAGAACTCAAATAGGAGTTCATGTTCCTATCTATATAATAGCTTGAATTCGTTAACTAGATTATTTGAAAAGCCTTCTACTACCACAAGTTTATAGAAAACTAAATAGAGCTATGCATATGGAGAAATTGAGAGAGATAGGACATTAGGAACTTACTTTCTTTAGTTTAGCCAAGAAGAGATGGTTCTTAATATGTTCCTTAAGTTCATTAGGAAGTAAAGAGAAGATATTCTTCACAGGAAGATCTTCGTCCTTTTCAAGCGCTTCTCTTACTAATTCCCAAATCGCCTCAGCTACAGGTTCACGGGAATCAGGGTTCGGAAGGTTATCAGGGATGCGATATTCAGATAACATGAAACGTATTTGTTGAAATATGACTTTCTTCCTCAGCCGTATCCTATATGTTCTGGTAGTTGCCTGCATAAATGTCTACTCCACAACAGGGAGGTTCTGGACTTGAGTTTATTAAATCCTGAAATGCATATATATGTAGAAACTACTCAAAAGAGAACAGATATACAGTATATAACTCATCACCGACCTGCAAATGTCCAAGCAGATATATGAATAGTACTAGGCCACTCATCGAAATAAAAATTACGAAGACGGTTTCCCATGCATAGGTACTAGTGTTGAGATTTGAAGCAAAAGAACTGCAAAAATGATTGAAGTAAAAAAATAAAATAAAAAATATATTAAAATAGTATTTTAAGAGTATTGGTATTCCAAAAATTTAATTATACACTTTTCGTAAGAGTGTTTTTCTTTCTATACACACACACACACACAACACACACACACACACACAACACACAACACACACACAACACACACACACAACACACACACACACACACACACACATATATATATATATATATATCAATGTTCTAAAAATTGGCCTAGGCGGCGGAGCTCGGACCCAATTTAGACCAAAACGTTCAGTTAGGCGGGGAGAACTTAGGCGGCTGCCTAGGCGCTCACTAGGCTCCTTAGGCGGGCTAGGCGGTGCTAGGCAACAGTCTAGACGGTTTGAATCTCGCTGTAAATCCTAAACTCATTGCAATTTTCGCAACGGATCTACAACTTCCGATCTCATACGTAGCAGTAGATCCCCAACGAATTTCTGTAGCTCGTCTATGTGAAGATGAGGGAAGAGAGAGTGTGAAGAGAAAGAGAGAGAGAAAAGGAGAGAGAGACTATTAAACATTTCAATCTGTGGTGAAGCTAGTTGGATTTGAGATCCAATTTTGAGGTTCTGAAATGGTGAAGAAGAAGAACGAAGATGAGGGGAGAGTGCGAAGAGAGAGAGAGAGACTAAAAGATATAATTTTGATATTCTGAAAGGGCAAAGAAGAAGAAAGAGGTAAGGTGGACAGGCGCCACCTTGGGTGATGTGAAACATGTAAAGTGGACAACATTGAAGGGTCATCAGATGGTTTTAATTGAAGGGTGATTTTCAACTACTTGAAAGGTCATCAGGCTTTAATTATGAAAACCACCCACTTGCGTAAGCTTTTTATATTTTTAAAAGTTTGGGATATATATATTATATATTATTTAGATAATATTGTTTTTTTTTTCCTAAGCAAGCATATTATATATGTACTTAAAACATTCACATATGTATGTTCTTCTATAAGAAATAACATATTATTCAATAATTATTTACATTTGATATAGTAAATTTAATTAATTCATATAATATATAAGAAATTTATCTAAATCTGTCTAGGCCGCCTAGGCGCCTACCTAGACCCCGCCTGGCCGCCTAGCCCACCGCCTGACTAGCTTCTAGCATTTTTTAGAACATTGATATAAATATATATAGAAAGGTTGGAGAACAATACTAGTGTTGAGATTTGAAGCAAAAGAACTGCAGAAATCATTGGAGCAATATATTAAAATAATATTTGAACAGAACTATTATTAACACTCCAAAAATTTAATTATACACTCCTTATAAAATTATTTTTCTTTCTAAATATAAAGAAAGTTCGGAGAAGAATAACAAATCCTTATGTGAAAAAGGACAACTTATTAGACGATTGGATTTGCATGACTGAATTTTGATAGTCAATTTCAATGTGGCCCTTAAACATTGGTGCATCCCATGCATCGGTGTGCTGTAGAAAAAAAAAAACCATATGCATAACGCAATATCTTAGAATAAAAACACTTATGTAGGACAAACCTTAGATTTCGTAAGCCCCATGAGAAACACATCAAGAATTTTTGAGGAAAATCTGTTGTTCCCACTATGCCAGACTGGAGAGTGTTTAGGAATATGCCAAAATCGAATACCACTGGATTTGGTGGATTTGTTGGACATAAATCATGTAGAAATGTGATATTTCTGAACGTAGTATTATCACATTGCAAAGTACTTAAGTCACATTCATTTTCACTTCGACAAGTAGAAATCCAACAATCTATCTCTCGTTGAATAGAAAAAAAGTACCAAAATGCCCCGAGTACCTAACAAACCAAGAATTACATTTGTAACTCAACAATATTTAAAGCAACTTATATATGGAGCAGTTAAAACAAAACAAAGATAAGACGATAACTTACATGGCTAGCAAGGATGTACATGATGAAATTTAATAGACCTGGAATCCATATTTTCTTTCTCATAGCAATGTTGTTGCTAAGTTCACGTGTTGACTTGTTATAGTTCTTACAGAATGTGAATATTGGACAAGCTCGTGCAACATATTGCAATAGAATAAGTAAGTTCAAAAACTTCATTCCATTCAACGATCTTGAGCCCCTCATTTTCGGAAGGAAAATTAAAATTACGATCTGTACACAAATGTAACTAGGAATTAAATTTAGGATGTTGTGTGACAGAATCAGCAAAATCAGATTATCCTAATTCCTAATATATGACTTAAGAGATTACGAAAAATAATTAACTCCAGAAAAGTAATTGGCTTACTTGTGGAATAGGAAGAACAGGTAAAATGTTATGAAGTAGGAATTCTGGGTGAAAAAGCCGACCTGCTTCTCTCCACCAGTAACTGTTCCTGTCCGTAGATCTCAATGCTTGCAACACAGACAGCACATGAAGGATGGTATTATATAGGTAAGGGACATCTATAATTGATCGCAAAACAATAGCTGTCTTTTTTAATTTTTCGTCCAACGCGAGACACTTGATATTTTCATTGATGATAGGAACATACAAGAACAAAGGGTCCACAAGCATAGGGCCAATATAAACCATCACGATGATCAGATACGATATCTGTAACATTATTGCAATTGTTGACTCTATTGACCACTCTGATCCATCTTTTCCATCTCTCTTATCAGACTTCCTCCTTCCATACTCAAACGTTTCAAATAATGATAATGTTGATTCTAGTGTTGATTCCTTTGATCTCTTTGCAAGCTCTAAAATTTCCTCACTTAACGACCTGAACAGTTAATACACAATAATTAACGCATGAAATTTATTTGTTTGATTTGTTTTTTCCTATTTCAAACAACCATGCATATTGATCTGATGCAAAAATTCTTTGGTTTAATTTGAAAAGGAAAAAAAAAATGTTAGAGATATCAAAAGAAGGGTTAATTTCAGTTTATTATCATAAAGTTTATTAGTTTTCAAACCCGAAGTTTTTTTAATCCCATAGTTGTACATCGAAGTCATAATTTTAGGATAATCTCGTATATCTGTTAAGATTGTTGTTAAGTCAACTGTTAACTAGTGATGTGGCTTCCACTTGGATAATAACTGGGCGCGACTTGTCAATATAGCCACGTGAAAATTAAAAAAAAATTAAAAATTAAAAAAATTAAAAATCAAAAATTAAAAATTAAAAAAAAATTTCTTCTTTCCAAACCCATGGCTGACTGCTTCCTCCACTTCTCCTCCTCCTCCCACGACCTCCTCTCCTTCCCATGGCTTTCAAGACCTCCTCGACTCCTTCGTCCGCATACACCAGGATTTCAAAACTCTCATCCTCTCCTCCACTAAAATCCACATCTCCAAATCCACCGTTGACCGCTACATCTCCGAATACTTCGAACGCAGCGTCAAAGCCCTAGACGTCTGCAACGCCATCCGCGACGGAATCGAGCAGATGCGTCAATGGCTTAAATTGCTCGACATCGCCTCCCTCATTACCCACTTCACCCCTGTTTTCAACACTTCAGACCAAAACCCAATTTCCCAATTCGGATCAAGCCACGTCGTCATCTTCTTCTTCGACCAGATCAGCCATTTCTGCCGCAGGAACCTTCTTCGCCGTTGACAACTAAGCCACATCTCCATCCCCGCCTTCCCCTCCTTCGAACCCAACTCCCTCAAAGTACCCATTTTCCAGTTCCAATTCTCACCCCTCCCAATTCCCCATTTTTCCCATCCAACTCTTCCCCTCCCGACCCAGCCACCGCCTTCGCTTCATTCCCAGCCAACATCGCCGAGCCGATTAAGGCCCTTGCAACCTAGCGATCGCAATGCTCTTCCCTGTCCAAAATCCTTGTTGAGCTCCTGATGGTGGAGATCAAAGGGGGAAAGAAAGAAAATTTGTTTTGATTTTTAATTTTTTTAGTTTTTTAATTTTTAATTCCTTTTAACTTTTATTAATTTTTTTCTTTTTATTTTATAATTTTTTCTTTTTTGATATTTTAATATTCATGTGGGCTTATATTGATACGTGATGTCCAGTCATTATTCACGTGGACACGACGTCATCAGTTAATGGTTGATTTAACAACAATTTTAACAGATGTATAAGATTGTTATAAAATTATGACTTCAGGTACCACTCTCGGATGAAAAAAACTTCATGTACCAAATGTTGAAAACTAATAAACTTTAAGATATTAAACTGATATTAACCTTTAAAAGAAATATGATACCTTGTTTGGTCGATTGACTTGTTATCGGAGGTGTCCATTTTTTGAATTGGTTCAGCAGAGTTCATCATAACTCAAGCTTCAAAATCCTCTGAACTATCAAAACCCGAATGAGGAGCTTCTTGAAATTACGACAAAGTACATATGTTCATTACAACCACTACAAGATGGAGAATTAGGAGGCTGGGGGTTGAATGGACAAATTAAGAAGCTAGCTAGCTAGGGTTTTGGAAATCCGCAAATGAAGGTATCATGCAGCAAATCCAACTGAAATTTAAGATCAAGCATAAATGGCTTTTTAGGCAGGTCGTTAGATTTATAATGGTCCACGGGGTCTTGGACTTTTCCCAAGTACGTACATTTTCTCATATATAATTGTGCTCACCAACCAGAGCAATAAATAGGCCACTTACCAACCGTTTCGGACAGTAGATGAAAGGCAAATGGGGTCTCGTCATTTATAGCTCATAATATATTAACAATAATTTGGTTCAAAATTGTTTTGGAAGAGAATCGAACCTAAGATTTCTCACTTATAAATGAAAAAAAATACTACTAAACCGTAGTACTAAGTGGCGATGGGGTCTTGTCATTTAAATTCTTATTTATTTCGCCTGGAATGGTTTTGCTTCAAGTGAGCTATAAATTTTCGGATTCCAAGTGATGAGTTAAATCATCTCGGTGTACCTACTACGTAATATTACGGCATCTCTAAAAGAGATGTCAAATTTAAAACATTAAATTGATATTTAATGGCTTATGTAGTAATTTGACATTTTGTACAATTTTTTGATCCACCCAATATTTTGATTAATAATTTAAATTTTTGGCTAAATTGGATTAATGGTCTTTGTGGTGTTAGAGAATCAGAAGATAACCCCCGTGGTGAAACAATTCGGATTTAAACTCTCATGGTGAAGTCTATTACGATTCAAGCCAAAATTAATATTTACACCAACTTTCTGTTAGCCAAAATTAACAATCCCACCCTTCCTCAAAATTTTCCTGAGTTCCCATTACAGAACTCCTAATGGATGTGATATACATCCTACTATAAAACTCGGTATGATATTAAACCGTTTACGGTCTCAACAACCAATCGACTCATGCGTACAAGCAGCAGCAAGTAAGATCTCGCTTTGGGAACTATATCAATGAACAACAACCAATCAGGCCATTGAACTTGACATCTCTAAAATCTGTTTTCTGGAGTTACGAGAAGTAGTCGGATTGCCTCATGAAAGTCTGGTGGTAAAGAGATTTCAAATGAAATATGTGTGCATATGCCAACAAGTATGCACATAAGGAATGCTATTGTTCTTGCATGAAATCAAAGTCTTGCCTAAGCCCAAGGATGAAATTTCATCTTGATGGAAGAAATTATTCCCCCTTGCTTTCAGGCTTGAGTTAATCTTTTCGACATCAGCAAGCAGGTCCTTAAAGTCGAGTCCAACACACCACAAATTTTGTGTTAACAGAGAGTTGATGGAAATGTTAATTTTGAGCTTGAATTCTAACGGACTTCACCACGAGAGTTTAAATCAAATTTTTTCACTACGGGGCTATCTTCCGATTACCCTATTACTACGGGGACCATTAATCTAATTTAGCCAAAAATTTTTATCACTTTGTGGGTCCATTTATGGAGGCAATCAATTAAATTCTTAGAATACACAACATTTATTATATATGCATTAAATTCAGAAAAAAAAAAAAACTAAATGAATTTGCTAGTAGAAGACTTTACCTTCAATTGACTTAGTGCCATGTAGGAAATTGAAGACTCGGTTGGAGAGAGTTTGTTGCCATTTTTTACTGTTTTATGTCTATATGACAGTTTTGACATCTCATTTGAAGATACTTTTAGAGAGATCACATTTTGAGAGGCCACATTGTACTATGTAGGACACATTGATACATATAGGTCACTCCTTTGCTAAAAATGATGGTTAAAAGATGGTATTATGTGTCCACTTCTGGTAACAGACAAAAATCAGTGATCACATCTTGAGAGACGACATTATGCAAGAAAACATGGTCATGGTACCCACACCAAAATAGGAACTAGCACCTATACGCTTTGGAACCATGTCCCCTGAAGGAAGACCACCTCTAATATCACAAAAAGGCATGCTTTTTAGTACTCTATAGGCTTTACTTGGTTTTAATATGAGCTCAACAGAAGGAGTATAAGAAGTGCCCAAATTAATGTTGAATGAGGAGGCACAAGCCTGGATAGACCAATTCATATGCCAGATTGAAGAAAAGAAGACAGGTGCTCATGGGCCAAGCAACTTTCATATTAACATGACCTACATGTTGTCCTCTATGTTCTGTGCATAACCTGATCAGCCAGCTGGATTGAAGGATGATTATGTGTCATAAGAGCTAATGATGGCTTTAGTAAACATTGAAAAAGTTAATAAGGTGGAGTTTGGCCCAACAAACAAGCCTGACCACACACAGAAAAAGCTTAAGAGAATCTACTATGAGAATATGGTATTCAAGAGCCCGAGTCTGGCTTTAGCACACAATTTGAAGCCCATATACGTGACAGCCCACTTGGAAGGAGTCCATGTTAAGAAAATGTTGATAGACGAAAGAGCAGCAGTTAATGTACTGCCCCTAAAGTAAATGAAGAGACTATAGAAGTGATGAGGACCTCATTCCCACTGATCTTGCTGTATCTAGCTTATTTGGAGCTATTACCAAAACACATGGGATATTTCCTTTGGAGGTAGATTTGGGATCCAAGAAGATCATGATGGCTTTCTTTGTGGTAGACAGTAGTTCTACTTATGGAGCTTTGTTGGGAAGAGATTGGATACACCAGAGTTTGTCAGTACCATCCACTCTGCACCAACAAGTTGCTGTGTATCATGAACCCACTGTTGTAATGCAAAGATTTTGGGAGATAGTGAAGGTCGAATCACAACCATTTCTCCCCACAACTAATATGGCTGAATCCAACTTCTACAATCCCAATGTAGGGGTTTTGCAATGTTCATGAGCTAAGCAGAATGGTCGCCCGACTAAGGACCGCCCAGAAGCTCCTAGAATAAGAACTTTCTCTCACTCAGGAGGAAGAGGACATGCCTCAAGTTGTCCCTGCCCACTAGTACCCATGATCACAGACTAGAAGAGAATGGACCAAGTAGTAGCAGTTAGGTCCTTAATCAAGAGACTGTTGAATTATGGAAGAGAGAAGAGATATCAAAGAGATTTTAGCCAAAGAGATGGCAGAGTGGGGAGAAGGAATGTCGAGTATAAAAGACGACCAAGGTAAAAAAATTTTGGAGAAAAAAGAAGAAGTGAAGGCTGCCATCCATATGGCAGAGTATTAATAAGCTTATATTTATATATATTTTACATCAAATTCACTTGTCTTTTCTTAGTTAGTTCATTATATATATTTGAACTATTTACGTTGTTTTGTGTTTTGTGGGATTTGTCAAGCAAAGAAAAGAAAAATAGCACAAGTGGGATTTTAAGTAAGAAATTCGTCAAAACTGCCTATGTAGGTCAGCTGACTTTGGAAACAAGTTGTGAACAGATCAGAATGAGTTAGAGAAGGAGCCTTACATGCTTGGAAATCTATGGATGTCTATTTTCTGGATCATTTTGTGGATTGTTAATATCATTTTTCTAGAAGAAGTTATGGCCGTTTTAACACTAAAAGGTTCCCAAGAGGCTGAGCAGTTTGTAATTGACAATACTGCAATGAAAACAATAAACCCAATAAATCTAACAGCAAAAAATGATGCAGCCAAGAACAAGTCAGCTGATACCTATTCAAATATTAGAGGAAATGGAAAAAAAATGAGAATTAAGTGGGAGTAATGGGCATAAAGTCTACCCAAAGAGTTACAATTGTTTTACCATTTCCTCTCACTTATGGTCATCACTAAATGACTGTTAGTGAGGTGAGTTATGGAGAAAAAAACTGGGGTATCAAGCAAGAACAAAAAGGTGCAGGTTTTAGCTGCAAAGAGGAGGGGAGAAAAAAATAGAATAGAAAGAAAAGGCAAGGCAGCAGCGTTGGGGAAGGAAGGAAAGGAAGGAGGAAATCTTGGCATTCTCTTCTCTCGGTTTTATCTTCTCAAATTCATGTCTTTCTTTTGGTTTTATTTGATAATAATGTGTAACTAAATTTTTAGTAGTTAGGGGCTGTTTTGAAGCTCTAAATATGATTGCAAGTTTGTTATGACATTTCGTTTGAATTACTTTTATGAATGGATGAAAATTGGTTCACTACTTGTCTCATTGATGAATTCTTTATTTGTTTTCTATGGATGCATACGTAGTAAGCATATCTAGGATTCTAACACTATGAATATGTATGTGCCTACCCTTGTCGAATGAGGACCTACATATGTTCTAGAGTAGTACTTGTTAATTGCGATTAACATGTGAACCAATTTCTAGGATAAGTAAGACAACGCTATACGATGCCTTATGATGACTCAAACTCTTTTCGTTTTTAATGATTTCTACTTTTTAAATCTACGAACACGCTATTCTAGATTGCATGCTAAGAACTAAGTTAAGTTGAAAACCTCATTCTCTTAACATACTACATAAGAAAGAGTAATAGGTTGAGTTCTAACATTGAGCCAACTTGAGCATCTTCTTCTGGAAATAAAAGGAATTTGAATGAAACATAACATGTTTGCATGATTATTTGGTGGTGGATAGCAATTCCCCTAACTCGTTTTTCTTAATTTGTGAACTACTTAAAATTTGCTTCTGTCCTGTTTTTGTTCGATTTAATTTAAATAGCAAATCAACTCCACAAATCCCAAAAATTTGTATAAGTGTAGCTCTATGTGTCTAGTGTCTGCATGTAAAATTTCGTAGACTTTAGATTAGTGTAAGTTGGTCTAATAATTATTTTTTGGTGGCTGGTCAGTAGGGACAGCAACCAGTTTTTGTGACATTTTAAGTAGTTAGATAAAACAACCTTTTGCAGGAAAGACCCTTATTTTCATATGCTACAATTGACAAATCTTAGTGTTAATAAGGAAAATCAATATGCATAACTCATTTTTCCCTATTCCTTTTCCTCGTAGGTTTATGAAGTCTAAGAAAGAGCAAACTGATAAGGAAATCTTGGATACTTTCTGGAAAGTCCAAGTGAACTTACCTCTTTTAGATGCCATAAAACAAGTGCCCAAGTATGCAAAGTTCCTTAAAGAGCTTTGTACGAACAAGAGGAGATTCAATGATCAAGAAACTATGGCATTAAGCGAGGAAGTATCAGCTGTTTTGCAGAGGAAGCTGCCACCGAAGTTGAAAGATGCAGGTAGCTTTACCATTCCATGTGTAATCGGAGGGAAAGAGTTTGGGAGAGCATTGTGTGATTTGGGGGCATCCATTAATCTGATGCCGTATTTAGTGTATGAATCATTGAACCTTGGAGAGTTGAAGGAAACAAAGGTAGTAATCCAGTTGGCAGATCGTTCAAATAGATATCCCAAGGGCCTATTGAAGGATGTACTTGTGCAAGTGAATGAGTTCATTTTTCCCGCTGACTTTTTTGTTCTTGAGATGGAACATGACCCTATGCCTACTGCACTTCCTCTTATATTGGGAAGACCATTCCTTAGAACGGCACATAAGAAGATTGATGTCTACGATGATACCTTAACCATGAAAATTGATGGGGAAAGCGTCAAGTTCAGAATCTTCAATGCTATGAGGTACCCTAGTGATTTTGAATCTTGTTTGTCTATTGATGTGTTTGACTATTTTGTGTAGAATTGTTTTAATAAAGGTGTGGGACAAGATAATTTAGAGAAAGCATTAGTGCATAGCATTACACATGGAAATCTTATTTATTCCGAGCACATTGAAGAAGAATTAATCCAAACAGTGGCCGCTCTTGAGTCTCGTTCACCAATTCGTGGTAAGTCTTATTCCTATTTTATTTCTATTCCTACTTCTAACGAAAAACTCTTCTTTCTGTGATTCAGGCACCCAAATTGGAGCCTAAACCGATTCCTGAACATCTGAAGTACGCATTTTTGGGAGAGGATGAAACATTACCAGTCATTATATCATCACAACTCACAGCAGAAGAGAGGGAGAAACTGATCCGGTTACTGAAGGATCACAAAACTGCCATAGCTTGGAGTATTGCAGATATCAAAGGTATAAATCCAGCTACATGTATGCATAGGATTTTGTTGGAGGAAGGTGCAAAACCAACAAGGGAAGCTCAACGCCGTTTGAACCCACTCATGATGGAGGTCGTTAAGAAAGAGGTTATCAAACTTCTTGATGTTGGCATTGCTAACATATATATAACATACCTACAACATAAATTATTCAACATAGATTAGTTAGCACAATTAACTTGTGATAGAAGTAAAAGATAAAAATTGAGATACGGATTGAGAGCAGGAGAAACAACATTTAATTCTCATATTTATTCTTAAAACTAAGTAAAAGATATATATATATATATATATATATATATATATATGTATGTATTAGTCACTCTTGGTTCATCACATTTGATAAAAGTTTCAGGTTACATTTCCCAGCATGGTTTCCCAATTGGTGGTTAGTTCACTGCCCAACAGCCAGCTTATTACCCGAATATTTCATGCAAATTTTATCATCTGGTTTCCAAAAGAAGTTTGACCGAAGCCGTTTCGATGACAGAATTACTCTTCTTTTGTTGTTCATGGCAAAATACAAGGTCCCTTGGATCATGAAATGGAATTACGAGATTGAAACATGTCAAGTCTACAGAGCCCTGTGGGTTAAATGGTGGGACAAATTTGGGAGAAACATCTCACCGAACAGTCCAGAAATGAAATAATATACGATGTTAAAAAAGATGAAGAAGGATTACCTATTTTTGATGAAAACATTGGGCAAGGTGTCCCTGATGCAATTAACACGTTACTCTTCACAATCATAGAACACTTCATAGGAACACCTAGTAATGTCACCTCTAGGATCCATGATCAACTCAGCAATCTGAGATGTCCAACCCTAAGCGACTTTAGATGGTACAAATAAGATGATATAATAGTCAATGAACGGGCCTAAACTAACAAAGTGGACGAATCCCAGTAGTGACTTACAAAACTGGACTTATAAGTGACATGGGAATACATTAATACTAGCTTGCGAGGTGTACATAAGTCACGAACTTTGATAAAAAATTTAAAACCAATAAGATTACAATCAAAGAACATTGAAGACTAGGAACCACATCCAAAGTATTTGACTAATTAATTCAAAGGTATACTTTGATTAAGATAAACATTGTAGACTACAAGAAATGCTAAGGAGACTTCCTCAAAAGTGAGACTCTCTATTGGACTCTCTGCCACCTTATATTTTTTGCACAATATATTATAATGTTAGCACAAAAATTGTAAAGTGGCAGAAAATCTATGAAAAATCTCATTTTGAGAAACTCTCATTAGAATTTCTCCAAGACAAAATCATAGGTTCGATTGATGGCCTCCAATGGGTTTTCACCTTATCCATCAAACTCTATCCACAGAAAAATAAATCTGATCTTATGAGTTGTAAAGCACTAAAAAGTACACAGATCAAAGAAATTAAAAGATTAGATAAAGACAAAAGAAATCATTTAACATAATCTTATGTAGCAACAAACAGTTTCTTCCATTCCCATACCAATTGACAATTCTCATACTTCAAGCTGTAATTCTTATGAGTTGCAAAGTAATGAAAGAACACAGATCAAAGAAATTAAAATTGGATAAAGACAAAAAATCATTTAACAAAAATATTATGCAGCAACAGTTTCTGCTTCCCCCTAGCCACTTGCCAATTCTCATACTTCAAGCTGTAATACATCTTCTGCAATACATCTTCCATATGGAGGAATTGGTTGCTCATAATTCATATATATGTACATAGGTTGGCTTGGATTTTCTAGCAGAGATCTCAAATCGGAGTTTGTCTATAATGAATCAGCTCTTAGCATATACCAGGACCATTGGCCGGTAAATCATTAGTCATTGAATCTTTACTTTTTAGTTACGATTTGAACTATCACGAAATATAATAAATCATAATCAGACTGTTGAATCCTTAATCATTGAATGTTTAACTAAGAATTGAACAGCCATGAACCTCGATGCATGTTATAATAATCATAATTTGTGACTGTTGAATTCTTATAAATTTTGATACATGTTCTAGTAAACCAAAATTTGTAATTGTTGAATCCTTAAATTTTTAGCTAAGAATCGAATGGTCATGATTCTCAATCCACGTCATGGACCACTCACTTGAATTTTCGCCAAATCGGCCTAACTCATGGGGGTCCAATATGTCTTTGTCTGCATGCATGCAATCACATGAATTTCACAATAAATAAAAAAAATGTAGGCCCCACATGTTGTGGGAACTTGGTCGAGTAGCCACATTTAAATCATGAGAGGGTGTCGGCATGAAGTGGCACATCAACTTCTCTCCCCTATTTTTTTTCTTTTTTCTTCTTTATCCTTCTATTTAAACAGTAACAGTTAAATCACGTTAATATTTTATATTAATTTTTTATAATAAAAGAAAAACAAAATAAAAGAATATGAGATGAGAGGATAAAAAGAAATAGAAAGATAAAGGAGAGAATATTTGTTCGACTCTGACCAGCAGCAAATATCTGGTAAACTTGTCAGCATATTCAAAAGATAAGGCATCATAAGAGGATATGTCTTTCTGTAGACAGTGACTCACTGCATGGGGATGGGGTGTCCTTATATTATTAATTTCTCGGCTGCCAGAAGCACTACATCCAGATCTTGCCTACACTTTCTCAGCAACCAAACAGACTTTTGAGTTAATCACTCACTCAAAAAACCCTACTTTTAGTTGTTGAATTTTCTCTAACTCTGACTCGTTTTGTTGGATTGAGAGCTTGAAGAAGAAGAAGAAGAAGCAGCTATGGAGTCTGCTGTTATGGTCTCTGCAGCTTCTTTTCATGATCTGGAGTCTTCTCATGAGCCGGAGAAGCCACTCCTTGTCGATAATTCTCGAACCCGAAAGAACCGTGCCCGAGATGTTCATATTCTCAGCTCTGCCTTCTTGCTCATCTTTCTTGCTTTTGGTGCCACTCAGAATCTAGAGAGCACTCTCATCACTGTGAGTTGGGCTTTTATGTTATTTCCTATTTTCTCTATTTTTCGAGAGACTTTTTTAAGGGTGGTAGCGATTTTGACACTCAACTCTTTTAGTTATTTACACTCCAAACTGAATATTTTATGATTTTTTCAGCACTCCCAGAAGTAGTTCTGAGGATAAAGAATGAGTGCTAGAAGCACTTGATTTTATATATTTGATTGAGAGCATGTTTTGAAGGAAAACAAAATTTAATTTGATGATTTAGTTTTATTTAATTACAGAGAAAATTAAACGAGATTAGCTCTTCAACAGTAATATGATTATGACATGCAACACTAATGGTATTAGGAAAATATGAATCTTGAGTTAGAAGTTATTTTATGGTTTTGATCAACTTGATTCTGATGGTTTTGGAACTTTTGAATTTGGTAATCAGGAGAAGAATTTGGGTACCACATCACTTGGAATTTTGTATCTATCATTCGCATTTTTCTCTTTGGTGGCGTCCTCGGTTGTTCGACGTTTGGGTTCAAAGAACTCTTTGATTCTTGGGACTACTGGCTATTGGTTGTTCATAGCTGCACATTTGAAACCAACTTGGTAGCTACTTTACTAATCCACTAAATAACTAGCAACTGAATTCTAAGTCTAAAGTAAAAAAGTCCCGACTCATGCGCAAAGAACGCAGCTCTTTAACTGCAAATCACAGTATTACACATATACGACATACACTCTTTGTGAGGTATTGAAATTGCGAAAGTAAAAATTTATGCAAACATGTCAAACTGTGATTTGTCTGCACGAATGAGCTAAGTATAAGAAAGTCTTTACTCTAGTTTTTTTGCATATGCTTTAACTTTGAACTATTTCTTTGTAGGTACATAATGGTTCCGGTTTCTTTGTACCTTGGGTTTGCCTCTTCAATAATATGGGTCGAGCAGGTACGAGATCTCATTGCTTCAACTGCAAGTCTTAAGTGTATATTGACAAAAACTAGAATTTAATTTCTGAACTTATTGTGGATCCATCAGGGAGCATATCTAACTGCAGCAGCGCGTAGTCATGCCCGAGACAATGGATTACATGAAGCAACAGTTATTGGCAACTTCAATGGAGAATTTTGGGGAATGTTTGCCTGTCGACAGGTGAATCTGTTCGGTCCTCCAAATGAGTTTGTGCTATAATTTTCTATCAAATTTATCCAGTCATTTTGTCTTATGATGTTTGCTGTGAACTTTGCAGTTCGTTGGAAATCTTTTACCACTCTTCTTGCTAAAAAGTGGAACAGTGCGTGCGATCCTTTTGTATACATTGCTTGTTCGATTTTGCGTTTAGAATTCATGGTTGTTTGGATATATGATGTGCATTGATTTTGTTTCCCTTTTGATCACTGCAGGACGGAAATGCAGGCGACATAACTTTGTTGTTCACTGTGTTTCTCTGCAGTATGACCTTAGGAACCATACTGATGTGCTTCTTAAGCAAACGGGATGAAGTAGAGCACCCCCACGGTTCTTCTCTCAACTTACTTGCTACTCTGTCATCTTCGTCAATGTCGCTCATCCCTCCTTTGTTTGATATACGGATGCTATTGATCATCCCCCTTATGGCGTATACAGGATTACAACAAGCATTTGTATGGTAATTACTTGACGAATTATCTCCCTATACTATCTTGCAGCCAAACAAAAATCACTTATTTTCCTTTGTTCATCGTTCTTTTGCTGGTCTAGTATTAAGATTTGCACAATTATTCTAATTTCAGGGCTGAATTCACCAAGTTCATCGTTAAACCAATGTTCGGTGTGTCTGGTGTGGGCGGTGCAATGGCAGTTTATGGGGCTTTCGATGCAATAGTAAGTGTATATGCACAAGTAGTTCTTTAACCCTTGATAAAAGTTTTTTCTAGACTTGTGATCTCACATTTGGGTGCCGCTCATGTTAGTGTTCACTCACTGCTGGTCGACTTACCTCGGGTCTCAAGTCCATCACTCTTATCGTCACAGGCGGAGCTTTAGTTCAGGCTGTCGTATTCATCTGGCTGCTTCTATTTTACAGGTTACTTAGCAGTTTTTATTGCAATTCTGAATGCCTTCTTGTCTCTAGTTCCTTATTTTACCTTTGTTATGATCACGCAGCCCGTCAAGCGGACTACATGGCACTATGAATCTTCTTATAATGGCAGCTCTGTTGGGCATCGGGGATGGGGTTTTCAACACACAGCTCAGTGCTTTGATTGGAATATTCTTCAAACACGATACGGTATGACAAATCTCCACTTTTCCCCCTTCCTTTTTAAGTTTTGTTTATCCATGAACTTCAGAACCACTACATTGACAAACCGAATCTGTTTGGTATTTCGGGGACATGCAGGAAGGAGCATTTGCACAGCTCAAGGTGTGGCAGTGTGGCGGCGTTGCACTCATCTTCTTCATCAGTCCATACATCTCATTACAGGCAATGCTGGTGCTTATGCTCTCTGCAATCTGCCTCGCATACGCCTCCTTTCTATTTCTGCATCGTCGAGGAGACAAATCAATCTCGCTTCGTTAAGTTGAGGTTCAGGTTCATGATACGTGCACATGAAACATTCAATCATTTCAAGAGGGAAAAAAAAAAAAGTTGTCGTAGTCATACAAGTTTGGGTATCATTGTGTTTTGTTACTGTCTCTAAATCCATATCATCCACCTTGTAATGTTGTTTCTGAAACTAATGAAAAATGACCGTTATGCTGTCACAAAACAATACAGCATCTAATACATTACTTGAACTCGGTTCAAATCTACTTGAAGGACAGACTTCTAGCTCTGAATCCTTTCCAATCTGTGTTTGTTTAGCTCAATTTGCACTTTTGTACTCTTTATAATTTGGTGTTTAGCTCGCAATTATATTGAAAAAAATAAATAGCCCTGTCTAAATTGTTGGTTAATCTTAATGTAGCAAAATGTGAAATGACCAAAAAGATCTTTGGACATGCCTTGCCTTCTAACATATATATATATATTTTTTTTAAACAAATGATATCATCGTAACTAAGGTGGGGTGAGTTTAATCTCGCATTGGGCTAGAATAATATGATTTAAATCCGTCTTTAACGAGAATCGAACATAAACCTCTCAATTATAAATGAAGAGGAATAACAATATACTGTAATACTAAAAGACCTGAAATATTGACACATTAATATGAATACGAGGTCGTATGATGTCATTATACTCCAATTAATTATACTAAAATCAATGTCAATAGACTATTAATGGGTTCCATTTTACATTAATATTTTGGAACATGTTACCGACATCATTTTAAGTTTTTTCAAAATTTTGATTTTGATTGCAACCTAAGGCCAAACCACAAGCCTACAAGTGCAATTTCAAAGAAAAAAAATAAAAAAGTAGGAAAAGGGAAAAGAGTTGCAATTATATGGTTGGCGGCAATAATAACGAATTGATTGGCAAACTGCAGGACGGCGATTGTCGTTTCGTCAGATATTTCTTTTCCCGACAAAAACCCAAATTTCAGAATCCTCTCAATTTTCTTGCTGCATTTTCTCACCAACCAAACGGTATTTTAGAGTTTTTGAGCTAATAAGTAATCCCAATTGAAAGTCAAATCTCTCGGTTTGTTCGCTAGCTTTCGATTTTCTCGCCGGCAGAAACCCTCTTCCTTTTGGCCTTGCTCTGTTGGACTCTCTCACTCATGTCTAGTGTTTTATAGCGATTCTTTGAGAATCTGTACAGAGAAAGAAGAACTCGAAAAGCTATGGACTCTGCCGGTTTTCCCGACGAAGAGACGCCGCTGGTGGTGGATAATTCGCCGATTCAGAGTCGTAGGAGGCATACCAGAGATGTGCATATTCTCAGCTGTGCCTTCTTGCTGATTTTTCTGGCTTATGGGGCCGCGCAGAATCTAGAGACAAGTGTCAACACTGTGAGTATAAAGTTCGAAACTTGAATCGTAAAGAAATGATTTTCCTTTCATAATTTGATGATATTTCAGCATTGTGAATTTAAAATTGAGTTTAAAGATGTAAAATCTGTTTGGGATTGCTTCTGAAAAAGCCAAAAGTGCTTCTGACAATCAGAAGACACTTCTGACAACTTTCAGCGGAAGAATTAAATATGCTTTTGGGTCGTCGAAGTACCTCTTCTAGATGTAGTAAAAGCACTTCTAGAATAAGCAATTTTGAGCTGAAGTGATTCCTATAGAAGCAATCCCGAACGAGCGCGTAAATTCAACTTGATTTTGATTATTTGTTTGGAGCTGTGAATTTGGTTTTCAGGAGGATGATTTGGGGACAATTTCACTTGGGATTTTGTATTTGTCTTTCACATTTTTCTCTATGGTGGCGTCTCCGGTGGTTCGAGCATTGGGATCAAAGAATGCTTTGATTCTTGGGACTACTGGCTATTGGTTGTTCATAGCTGCAAACTTGATACCCTCTTGGTAGCTACTGATTTGCTTGTATCCATACTTCCCCACATAAATTTGTTCACAATGCATTCCCCACATAAATTTGTTCACAATGCATATGCTTTAGGATTTGAAGTATTTCAATGTAGGTATACTATGGTTCCGGCTTCTTTGTACATGGGATTTGCTGCTTCGATAATATGGGTTGGGCAGGTACAAATTAACCCATATGTATTTGTTTTAAGTCTCGTTTTAGTGTTTGGTGGGAATTCTGACCATAATGTGGGTCTATCAGGGGACATATCTTACTTCTACTGCACGTAGTCATGCCAAAGATTATAACTTACATGAAGGAACAGTCATTGGCCACTTCAATGGAGAATTTTGGGGAATGTTTGCCACTCACCAGGTGACTTTTGTTATTGGTGAATTTGTGTTACATTATTAATAATGTTTTTGTTGGTTGTTTTGGCTTATAATCTTTACTCTTAACTTTTGCAGTTTGTGGGAAATCTTATATCACTCGCCGTGCTAACAGATGGAACAGTATGTGACGCCTGCCATTCTTGTAGAGGACTTGTGTTTGTTGTGACAATTCCGTTGATTTTGTTCACTCATTAGACCCCACAGGTCTGATGGCCTAGTATATAAACGAACTGTCATTTTGGAATCCTATTCAGCCCCTTAGGTTAAACCAAATTGCATTTTTTGGTTACAAAACTTGATATTAATTTAACAAGTACAGCAATGTTATGGATGTGCAAGCATGGCTGAGGTTTCTTACTTCATCTTGATTTTCTCAGTCACGATGAATTTTAGGGAGTCCTGCACATAAACTAATCTTAGATTTTGATTTAGAATTTATTAGTGTTTTGAAATTATGCGCATTGAATTATTTTTCTTCCCATCACCGCAGGGGGGAAGTACTAATAGCACAACCTTATTGTTCAGCGTGTTTCTCATCAGTATGACTTTGGGTACCATACTGATGTGCTTCTTGCATAAAAGGAATGGTAAAGCAGAGGAGAACACCCAGGATTCTTCTCCCAGCTTCTATGCTTCTCTGTTGTCTTTGTCAAAGGCAATTGTCACTCCTCTGTATGATGTAAGGATGTTATTGATCATCCCCCTCATGGCGTATTCAGGATTGCAACAAGCATTTGTGTGGTAATTACATGACCAATTCTTACTGCCTACTTTCTTGTATCCGAAACACTATCACTTGTTTTAGGCTTCCATTTCTTCTTTTACTTTTTCGGTTCTTGAACATTGCACAATTGTTCTAATGTTAGGGCCGAATACACCAAGTATATTGTTACTCCAACACTTGGTGTGCCTGGCGTGGGTGGTGCAATGGCAGTTTATGGAGCTTTTGATGCAATCGTAAGTATACTGGCATAAGTAGTTTCAATCATTTATCCAACGCAGTTTGTACCATTAGTTCAGGTGGAGATTGCATTCAAAATCAACATTTTTAACCCATTCATGTACTTTAATGGAGTTTTTATGCATGCTCGATATCTGGTGTTTATTTTGGACGGAACATATACAGTGTTCACTGGCTGCTGGTCGACTTACCTCTGGTCTCAAGTCCATTACTATTATAATTTCTGGTGGAGTCCTCCTTCAGGCTATAATATTCCTGTGGATTCTTCTAGGATACAGGTTAGTTGTATATACGTGTAGCGTACTACACTTTTGTAGAGTTGAAATTTTTATGGTAAAATCTAATTTGAACCTTTGGCCGAAAAAGTAAATCTCTAATTTGAAGCTATTGGTAATATGCAATTTCTCGTCACGATGCAGCGCGGAGAGTGGTGTCCTCGGAATTGTCTACCCTCTTATAATGGCAGCTGTATTGGGTGTTGGTGATGGAGTCTTAAACACACAGCTCAGTGCTTTGCTTGGGATATTCTTCAAGAACGACACGGTATTGACTACACATTTCCCTAATTCTGCCCCCTAATGCTTTACGTGTATCGATCTATACTCACAGTGTGTTGTTTTTGGGAATAGGAAGGAGCATTTGCACAGCTCAAGGTCTGGCAGAGTGCTTCGATTGCAGTCATCTTCTTTATCAGTTCATACATCTCATTGCAGGCAATGCTGATCGTTATGCTTGCCGCTGTTGCAATCTCATATGCTGCCTTTGTTTGTCTCTCGCTTCGAGAGAAAGCATTCCAGTCTTCAACTTCTTAATGTGTAGACATGAAAATTGAAATCATCCTTGAGAAAAAATCGTGTATACAGGTATATGTTATGTTTGCTAAATTCTCCAAATCCATCCGCAAGGAAATCTGTTGTTTGTAACAAGTTCATCTACTTCAAGAGAAATTAATGGCTAGTCTTCAAAGTTCAAAGATCATTCAGAATTTGAATCCCTTTCCTAGTAGGATTAGGTTACGGTGGCTATAAATACCCTAGTTTCGGTTGTAGAGTTCACATTCGGTTGCATATTAAAGCAGAAATGAAGGTGGTAGCTGCGTACTTGTTGGCCATGTTGGGAGGCAAGACCGTCCCATCTGCCGAACATCTTAAGGACATCCTTGGCTCTGTCGGAGCTGAGGCTGATGATGGCAGGATTTAGCTTCTTCCTTCAGAAGTCGAGGGTAAGGACATGAGAGAGCTGGTTGCTTCGGGGTGGGAAGTCTGGTGGTGGTGGTAGTGTTGCAGTTGCTGCAACTGGAGGCGGCAGCAGTGGTGCCACAGCACCTGCTGCTGCTGAGACAAAGAAAGAAGAGAGGGTCGAGGAAGAGGAGTCCGATGAGGACATGGACTTGTAGAGTATTAGGGTGCATACGTCCCGGAAGAACAGCTTTTCTTTTCTGAGTGAAATAGTAGTATGTTATGGAATTGTGGTGGATTTGAACCTTGTGTGCTATTAATTTGAAAAACTCTTTTAAGTTTCTGAAAACATTAAAACCAAGTGATTGAGCTAAGAAGCACCTGTAGACAGAAGCACGACAACAACAAAGGCACAAACAATAGAGAAATGAAAACTGGAATGGGAAAATATGAATGAATTTTTGAGAGATTGAATATAAACATGAAATTTGAAAAATTGAGCCAAATATTGTGTAACGTTTTTTTCTTTAATTTTTCGGGCCCACTAACCTTCGTAATTGACAATTTATCCAAATGTAGGCCTGAAATAATTTTTCTTTTTCATGACACGTCTGTGCTCATTGTGCATGCCTTTTATGCAGATTCCGCCTTTGCTATAAATGGCCTTTCTATTCTCTACAATTGTGTGCAATTCTCTCCCGTTCTATTGTTCCTGCGTATCTTCAATACAATTACAAGACTTACTCCACCTAGAGCTTCTGCTCCAGCAGAATCCACTCCATCAACTTCCTTAACCGGCCAAGGGTTTGATTTCTTAACATTCATGAGTCTTCAAATGAATTTAGCAGAAGAATTTTTTTTTTTTTTTTCCGAAGATAGAAATATATTAGATACGAATAGAGAGATTTACATCCTGGGCTAGGATGTTAAACAAGAATTCAAGCCCAATACAGTCCCACCCAAATTCACGACCCTCCTTGAAAGCAAACTTAGCAACTGAGTGAGCAGCAATATTGCTCTCCCTAGGCACGGAAGAGAACGAAACAGACCTCAACCTACGCGCTAGAACCTCAATATCACCAAGAATACATTCGAGACTGAAATCATGAGGTAGCTCATGCCTAAGCATTTGAATAATCACCTTGGCATAAGATTCAATAACAACATTATCATACCCGTAGTCAATGTAAGCCATGAGAGCGGTCCTAATTGCAGAAGCTTCCCCAGCAGCCGCAGAGTGACACAACTCAACACCCGATCCCCCCGCACCATGAAGAAGTCCCGCAAAGTCACGGCAGACCCATCCTACCCCCATGCAGAGAGTGGTCTTGCACCACGAGGTGTCAATGTTGACCTTGAGGACCCCGAATGCCGGCTTCTCCCATCTACAACCCCCACAGTCCAAGGACGAGATCATCGGTCGACACCTAGGCTGTTTTCCCGCAGTCGCACTGAGCGTAGCTTCTCTGAATTCAGAGATGTTGCTGCTCCAGGACTCCAAAAGTTCCAAGGGCTGCTTGTGCACACCATTAAAAACCACCTCATTTTTGTTTTTCCACTGTCTTCATAACCCAAAGGCAAACTCCTGCATGATCTCTTCCGTGGTGTCCCTCCCCTTGACACGAGACCAGAACAACTCCCAACTAGCTAGGAAGTCAGCACCTGCCAGTTCAAAGGAGTTCAACTGAAGCGGAGAGGAGAACCAGAACAGGTGGCTGAGGTTACAACGGAAGAAGAGATGAATTTCCGACTCATCCACAACACCACACACTCCACAGACGTTGTCCACTCTCATATGTCACCGCTTCAGATTACGACGAACAGCCAGTGCGTTGTTACAACACCGCCAGAAGAAAATTTTAATTTTGTTGGGTACCTTCAACTTCCAGATCAGGTTCCAAGCGTAGCAGTTTTTTGGTTTTTCGCTAGCAGAACCATGACCTTTCTTCCCCAAAGCTCCATTTTTTCCATAAGGTTTATAGCCACCCTATACCCCGATCGAACCGAATAAACCCCATTCGCATTGTGATGCCACACCATCCTATCCCGACACCCAGTCTTGCTTAAAGGGATGCTTAAGATCGGCCCCACATCATCCCGATGAAAGCTTGCCAAAATCAAATCACTTTTCCAAAAGCTGGACCCCGAATCAATTAATTCACTAACCAAGGTAGCTTGCAAGTTCACCACTGGCATAACTCTGAAAGTAGAGGGCCTAGGAAAGCAAGGGTCTTTCCTGATGTTGATACAGGCCCCGTCCCCTACCCTCCACCGCAGGCCTTGTAGGAGCACCTTGCGGGCTTCAAAGATGCCCTTCCATCCCCAAGACGTGTTCCTACCCTTACCCGCATCAGTAAAGCTCTTTCCAGGATAATATTTTTCCTGTAGGACAGTAGCAAGCAGAGACCTCGGATTCTGGATCAGCCGCCACCCAATCTTGCCAAGGAAAGCCAGATTAAAACATTGGATATCTCTAAAGCCCAGCCCGCCGAACCGTTTTTGCTTCATTAACCGCTCCCATGAGATCCAGTGGACACCCTTCCTCTGCTCGCTCCCTCTCCACCAGAAATTCCGGATAGCTTTCTCCAGGTCTCTACATACCTCAATGGGTAACTTAAAACAACTCATGGCATAGTTTGGCAGCGCCATAGCCATTGCGTTGACTAGGACTTCCTTTCCTGCTTGAGATAGAAATTGCTCACCAGCCCGCCAACCGAGATTCAAGCCTGTCCCGCACCTCTTCAAATACCACTCTTTTAGAGTGGCCAAAATCAGCTTGCAGCCCAAGATACCTACCAAACCCAGTCTTACATTGGATTCCCATGGTTTGCCTAATCTTCCTCCTAACCCTACTAAAGGTCTTCGAGCCACAGAAGATCGAGCTTTTAGAAAGATTAATAGCTTGACTAGAACCACGGGCATATGTTCGTAGCACCTCCAAGATGCCTTTCGCCTCCTCCACACTGGCATGACCGAATAACACCAAGTCATCCATAAAAAATAGGTGCGAGATCGGGAATGAAGAGGGAATGAAGAGAGAGAAGTAGATACAAAAAAGCAGCGAAGAGGGAATGAAGAGAGAGAAGTAAGAGAGAGGAAAACTGAATAGTCTTTCTGGATTACATCAATCTTAATTCTTTTACACATGGATAACTATATATATATATATATATATATATATATATATATATATATATATAGTTGCTCATAATTGATGACTCAGCACTCTTTTTCTTAACCAACTAACTTGTAACTAACTATAGCTGACATGGCGGCATGAGGTGTATGCTAAGCTATTATACACCCTCAATTATTATCCCCCCTCAATCTCAGCTAGGGTAACCTAATCTGAGATTGCAACAATGACGAACAAATGCCGGTCCATGCTGTCCCTTTGTCAAGATATCTGCAGTCTGGTGTTCAGTTGACACATATTGAACTTGTAAATCCTTCCGCTGAACCTTTTCACGAACAAAATGAAAGTCGTGTCCATATGTTTAATTCGTGTATGAAACACAGGATTTGAATAGAAAGCTAGAGCAGATAGGTTGTCACATTGTAACAAAGGTGGCTCAGAAATAAACTGATGCAAATCCTTTAACAACAATCTTATCCACGCAATATCAGCTGCACAATGTGTTAATGCTTTATATTCGGCCTCCATGGAACTTCTTGACACCGAGGCTTGCTTATTAGACTACCACGATATAGCATTTGGACCCATGAAAACAACAAATCTAGTAACAAATCTCCTTGTATTTGGATCGGTAGCCCAATCAGAGTCTGAGAAAGCAGTTAAGGAGGTATCCTGTGATGCTGAATATGTAACACCACATTGCACAATACCTTGAATATACCTTAAGATCCTTTTGACTAGATCAAAATGTATATCAGTAGGATTACGCATGTATTGACAAGCCACACTCACAGCATATGACAAATCTGGTCTAGTGAAAGTTAAGTATTGCAGAGCACCAACTAGACTTCTATATGCACTTCGATCAGCCAAAGTCTAACCTTCAGTGGCTAGAAGTTGAGTATGAGGCTTACATGAAGTTGTAGTAGGTTTGCACCCATCCATTCTAGCTTTGTTAAGCAAATCTCTTGCATACTTAGACTGGTTTATGAAAATATCTCCATTTTCTTTATACTCAACCTGTAATCCCAGAAAATAGGCCAATCTTCCCATATCTTTCAATTTAAACACATCACAAAGTTCCTGAATTATAGCCTAAACTTTATCCTTGTTGGATCCAGTGAGAATAATGTCATCCACATATAGCAATAAGACAACAATATCAGTTTCATCGTGTTTCACAAACAAACTTGTATCAAATTGAGACATTTTGGAACCCTATTGCAGGCAAATATCCTATAAATTTGGCATTCCAGGCTCTTGGGGCTTGTTTCAAGCCATATAAAGATTTCACCAACTTGCATACATAATCAGGATGTAAAGAATCCACAAAACCTTGTGGCTGCTTCATATAAACCTCTTCCTCTAGTTCACCATGCAAGAATGCATTCTTGACATCCAACTATCTTAATTCCTATTTAAATTGAGCTGCAAGAGAAATGATTAACCTGACTGTGGTATGTTTCACAACAAGACTAAATGTCTTAAAATAGTCTAAACCTCTTCCTGATTATACCCTTGAGCCGCTAATCTAGCCTTATACCTTGAAATGGAACCATCAGGATTCTTTTTCAGCTTGTAAACACATTTACTACCAATGACAGCTCTGTGTGTAGGTGGAGGGACTAGCTTCCATGTGCCTTGACCTTTCAATGCATCAAACT